CACCTTATCCTAGTCCCTGCCCTAACAAGCAGTTAATTAGTTCATTTGTTTGTTTGTAGACAGCGGACTCCTGGGTAAGTCTAAAAAGGGAGGGGAAAGTAAACCAAGTGGAAAAGTGTAAAGACATTGGAAAGAAAGGTGACAAGCCGCAGAGTAAGACCTTCCAGGGCTGACAAGATGAGTTAGGGAAGAAGAGTCAGGAAGAAGAAACATGTCCACCCTGACAACAGGATAACTGTGGAAACAAACACAGTGAGAGGTAGGAGACAGAAAGGAGAAATGGAGTTTCATGGAGATAAACACGTTGAGAGGCAACTCAGAGACATTCCATTTGACACATAAACACCTTTTGTACTATATTCACTCGTACCTGTAACTTTAATAACGTAATATAAACTTTGAGGTGTTGGAGCTACGTGGTGAATGAAGGAATAAATGAGTGGATGTAAGAAATAAAACAGTGAATAAATAAATACATGCAGATTTTAGTTTAAGTATTTTGTGTTTTGTGCACCAAAGGGTCTGAAAACAGAGTTGGGAAAGTGAGGGCCTCCATAAAAACTGAGGCCCCACAAACCACCCTTCACTTACCTGCCAACGGAGAAGAGACACATGAAAAAGATGGCACTGACAAAGGCATCCGGGTCAAAATCACCTCCCAGGATGTCAATCACACGACCAGAATAGTAAGGGATTAATGTCTCACCTGCAAGAGGCAGGAAGGACAGCAGATGAAAGTGCCGGTGCCAAGGGCCTTTTCCCACCTCCAGCTCACAGCGCCCTCTCCTGACTCACCCAACACGGCAAGGACCAGGAAGAAGAAGGCGGCAGCCAGGAGAGGCAGGTCTGGCCTGGAGAGCTGCAGCAACCTCCACGTAAAGGCTCTGTTGTTCTCCTGGCCCCGCTCCCTCTCCTGGGGTCCTGGGGCACCCAACACAGCCCACACCGCCCAGCTCAGCCCTGCAGCCCCGGAGCCCAGCAGCAGCCAGCTCCAAGAGGCCGAAGCCACTCTGGCTGGGGGAGCACTCAAGGCCCCTGGGACGAGGGCCCTCAGGGAGAGAAACAGGGGGGTCACCAGGCAGAAGGGGGGCAGCAGTGCTCCCACAAATCCCAGCAGCCCCCCCAGCCTCAGCAGCCACCAAAGCCCTCCAAGTCGCAAGGTGCCCTCCAGCCACAGGCCTGGAAGCCCTGGGGGAAGCAGGGCCCCCAGAGGCCCCCGCAGCAGCCAGAGTAAGGCCGAGTCCGCCAGCAGCAGGGAGGCCCAGGGTCTCAGGTCAGAGAGCCGCATGGCGAGGTCTGTGGGCAGAAAGTGAGAAATTACAGAGGTGGGGTCCCAGCCCTTGCCTCTGTCCTCCCCACTCCCACTCTGCCCAACGCATCCACCGGCTTCTCAGTTTGTTTACCCAATGCCGCCCCGAAAGATGCCCTGAGTACCCCGTGCTCACCAGTACCTCCCTCCTAGGACCCAAGGCATTCGGCCAGACGGAGGGAGCTGGGAAGCCTGACCATCTGCAGCCTCATCCTTTAAAAAAAAAGTTGCCAGGGCCCCCTCCCCCACACCCCGCTCCCACCAGCCGCCCCGAGTTCCAAAGGGCCGGGCGGTCGGTGCCCTGCTCCTCTGCTTCCCGAGGTCCAGAGGGACAGGAAGCGGGGGGCGCAGAGTGGGCGGTGGCTGGGCTGCGTCCGTGTCAGCGCTCCAGGTTTCCACCCGCACGAACTCACCAGCGGCGCTCCTGGGCTGCAGCTCCAGGGGGTCTTTCCTCTACGCGCTGGGGCTGAGCTCTGAAATGCCGCGCGCGGTCTCAGCTTGGTTTCCCCTCTGCGGGCTGGCGAGGCTCTCCCAGCCAGGGCCGCCCTCCGCTTTCGCTTTCGCTTCCCTACCCGGGGCCTTGTTCTGGGCCCGGCGGCCAGCAGGGGGCGCGCGACCCCCGCAGACCTCCCGACAGACGCCCGACTCCTGCTCCCCTGGCCAGGCCCGAGGTTGGTCTCCCACCATCAGCAATAGTTACTCTGTCATAGGAAACTATTGCGATTTTTTAAATTGCCTCTAAGTAAAGTGAAGCTGTTTCAGAGTTTAGGATGCTCTGTAATTGGAGAACCAATGGATTTTCTTACCTCAAATTCTTACTGCCTCAGCTCTGAACCTATTTTGGAATTGGCCCTCTTCCCCCATCCAAGCTCCAGTTGTAGCATCTTGTGGGGAGCGCGGAGAGAGAGCCATATTCCGAGTGAGAAGTACTCAGGACTTCTAAGTGGAAGGCCCCGTCGCTCTCACCAGGACCTACATGGGTTTCCTCTTAATAGATTATGAGCTGAGAAGGCCCTCACCCCATGTCTGCATTTGTCTTTCTCAACACAGCTCCTTGAGCAGAAAATGTGTTCAGATAATTCTAAATTTGTGGTCCAAATTACGTTGGGAGCACCTTCCTCATATGAGGGGAGTGAATTTTGTTTCTTGGCCTATTTTAACACTGATTAGTGAGGTAATCAGGTTTGCATGGGTCCTGCCTAACCCAGAGTCTCTCCGTGGACCGTGCAGATTGGTTTCCTCCAGAAACAACTCTTCAGGTTGAAACTACCTCCCAGACTCAGAATACCCCTCGAGGGAGGACTGCTTGGATTCCAGTCCACCCTTTTGAAATGTTACGGGTATGACTACCAATGAGTCACTTCAAATTGAAAGTGGGAAGTGGGAGATTAGAAGTTAGGGGCTTACTAAAATTTCTCCAACCCTGTCCACTCTGGAACCTGAAGGATCTCTAAGGAGAAAAGCTCCACGCTCAGCGGCTTCCTACTCACAAGCTCTTCTTTTGACTGCCTCTCCTTAGAGAAGGTGTAGCACCCTGCTCCCTCCAGCAGTCCCAGCATGATTCGGAAAATCTCATTAAGTCTCTCACCTTTCTAACCGAGTCACTTTTTCCTCACATTACCATTTCAGCGGGTCCTCCTTATCTCCTCTTCCACTTCAATCCTGGTCTCGTCATCTTTCAATTGAGTGTGACACATCATGAAATTGAAGCCCTAGTGTCTGTCTTTACCTTTAATATCCAATCTCTCCACAGTGTTATTTGAGGTAAATGGGACCGTGTTTACAATTACTGCACACATGGGAACCAGAAGCTTTTCCATCCTACTCTACAAAGTCAAAAACAGTGTTTCTAAGTGCCCTACTCCCAAATAATCATTAACAACTGATTATACAGGAGTCTCCAGGTTGTGTTCCCATAGAAAGGGCTCTAACCTAAATTAAACTGCACAGAACTGTTCACAGACCATGTTGAGCCTTCCTGAGGTCCTGGAGAGGTGAGCATGGAAGGAAAACCCAGGAGAGATTTTGAGTGAGGCCCCATTTCTTAGGCAGGGGTTTGAGTCTCTCTTCTCAGGAAAAGTCTGTCTTTATTTCCAGCCCCCTCCTCCCAACAACCACAGCCCCAATGCCACTCAGCCACAACACAGAGGCATTTATAACCGTTACCTCTTTATTGTGCTTAGTGGGGCACCCAGGAGGTTGGGGTGGGGGAATGCTCGTTGAGACAGAGAACACACAAAAGGCAAACTCTGCCTTGCACCTCCCAGTGGCCCTCATTGGTTCTCTATCTCTGGGCTCAGTCAGATTAGGCCCCTCTTTCTCCTGGGGTGGAAACTGGCCCAGGTCCCTGAGTTGACCAGGCTTCTCCAGAGGCTTGCCCAGCTGCCGCCACCATCACTGACTGGCCTCCCGGTACTGATGCATCAGGTCACTGACATCCGTACTTTCCACTTTCACCCAGCCATCTTCCTTCATGTGGTACACTGCGGGCAAACGAGAAAGAACCTAGAGTCAGCTTTCCCTTCAGAATTCCTGTTAATGACGTTGTGTTGAAGGCCACAACAGCAACACCGACTCTCAAAGCCTTTATTACTGGGACTTCAGTGCCCTTCCTCTGGCTCTGAAAACCCATCCCCTGCCACTCTGCCTCCCCTAGGTCTTCTGATCGCAAATCTCCCTTCCCCACCCAGAGGCATGGTGGGGGGCCATTGGTCTCTTACTGTTGACAACGCCTCCAGAATAGCTGTCGCGGTGGGTGGCATGAACGATAGCCCTTCGGCCCAGGTCATAGGCCTCTTCGATGCTGAGATTGGGCCGATAGCCGCTGTCCATGACTCCGTAGGCATAGGTGTTCCCGCTACCAGTGGAGAATATACTTCCTGAGAGCCGTGTCCCATTTTCATTCACATAGTAGAGTCCAGGTCCCTAAAGGGAGCAAGAAGGTTCCAGGTTGGAATTGGAGAGGAAGTTGTTGGTAACGCACAGGTTCAAGTGTGAGCCATGAGAAGTAGATAAAAGAATAAGAATGACCACGGGGCCTTTTGAACTGGAATAGCACTTTGGTTGCAATCCTAGAAGTTTAGCAGGGGAAACAGGAAAAACAAACTTGGAATTAGCTATTTTATCCACAGAGACAAGCTTATGAAACTAGTGGTCCACATCTGGACCCAGAAATTGCCAGTGGATATGCTGGAACACATAATTTCTTTTTCTTTCTTCCTTTCTTTTTTTTAATGGAGGTACTGGGGATTGAATCCAGGGCCTCAAATCCTCTAAGCACGTGCTCTACCACTGACCCGTACCCTCCCTCAATGGAGCAATTCTATAACCCAGTGTTCTATGTACTGCATACCTTGTAGGTGAGGGAGTGGGCGTGTCCAGTGGGGAAACTGCTCTCTCACCCAAGTTTGGTGGGGGGGTGGAGGGTGATACAGAGGATGGAGAGGACTCACCTTCTTGTCCCAGCCACAGATCATACTGCCCATGGAGAGGCCCATGCCCCGGTACTGGCACATCATGTTGGAGAGCAGTTTGGAGGCTGCTGACACTGAGATCCGCTCCCCATTCCGCAGATAGTACAGCCTGGGTGAGGACAGGGCGGGTTGGGGAGACGACTTAGAGGTGACAGGAGAAGGCTAGCCCTCTGAGCAGCCCACTTGATGGGCAAAAAATGATTGCAGAGATAAGCATTTGAAAGGAATGGTTTTGTAGGATCTAAGGATCAGGGAAAGATCTGGAATTTAAAGGATCCAAACTACATAAAGAAATCCTTGTAAGTGATATGATCCCACCAGAGTCGATGGTGTCAGTGCTAAATAACTGACAGGTTATCTGGCTTATTGACAGGAGCACAAGCTGAGATTTGGGAGAAGGTTTTGAATCACCAAAAGGCTGTTTTGTGAAACACTATGTTAGCACTAAGATGCTCTGTTAGCACGAAGGGAAAGGGTGAGGAGCAGTGATCTGGACGATCCAGGATCCAGGATTGATCACTAGGCTTAGAAGGGAGATAAGAGGCCTTGCCTACCTGCACTCCTTGGCTAGCAGACGCTCCCAGTACTGACAGTCTGCTGCACAGCCAGACATGGTGCCAAGCAGGTAAGGGTTAATCTCAATCACCTTGTTCACCATAAAGTTGCCTAGAAGAAGACAGAGTTTGAGGAGAGGAGGAATGACCCCACAGCTCTCCCTGTGCATCCTAGATCAATATCCACTCCCACTTTGATGCAGATATTGGTCTACTGCTGAAAGGAGGACTCAGCTCCCCAGCCCTCCCCAGACTGCACCTGCTGAAACACACACTCACTTATGTAATTCCCAGCCGAGGCCCGAGAATCCACTGCCACAATCACCCCGTGCTGGAACTTGAAGGCAAGGGTGGTGGTGCCATGAGCCATCTCAATCTGAACGTTTCTTCCTCCGTTCCCACCCAGGGACTGGAAGAACTCGGTGGGCTAATGAGACAGAAAAAGCAGAGAAAGAAGCAATGAAAACTTCTGAACTTAGTGGCTTCAGGAAAGTAGTTTAGAGAGTGTGGGAGTGAGGAGATACACAGACATTCTCCAACCCTCAATACATGAAACAGTTAGTAAGCCCACTCTACAAGGAAATGGCTTGGGAGAAGGAAAAGAAGAGGCCATGACATCAGCTTTTTCCATTTTCCAGCACAATAGAAATGAAAGGAAATAAATGTTACCATAACTAACAATTTTCAGGGTGACTGTAACGTTTTTCCATGCATAGGTCGTTTAACCCTCAGGAAACACTTTTTATTAATAGTATCCCCATTTTACAGAAAAGAAGCCCAAGACCTAGACAAAGAGACTCGATCCAAGGCACACAACAGTGAGTGGCGGAAGCCAGGCTAATCGCTAAAGTCCACAGGTTTTCCAAGACACAGGCCCAGGAGAAAAACTTCATGATTTGTGTGTGATGGAGAATGGGCAGGAAAGCACTTGTCTCTCCATGGTAGTCCCCATCTCACCTCTAACTCTTTGCCCTAATCTGTACTTCCTATCCTCAGGCTGCCGGTCCCACGTGGCCTCTTCGCTGGTTCTGGGCCCTGGACCCTGGACATGGCTCTTAGGCTAACGGATCCCCCTCGCCCATCCCCTCGCATTTTGCAGCCTCTGGATGGTCCCAAGACAGACCCTCCATTGCTCTGCACCCTCCTGTCCGCGTCCCACAGGATTTTCTTACAGCCCTGACCTGCATTCCCCGTGGGAGGGCGAGCTCTGGAGATCGCATAGAGAAACTGTAGTGACCAGGGTCCGAGCGATGCCGGCTCCCCGCGGCGGGGACAGCCCAGTCCTCCAGCTGCCCTCGGGGGGCTCCGCACACATCCAGCAGCGCCATGATCGCCTAGCACCGGAGATCGGTCGGTGCTCACAGGGGGAAGTGAAAGCGAAAGCCCGAAGCCTCAAGGGGAGGGAACCAGAATTTTTTTCCACATTCCCCTGCCCTTTCCGAGAAGCGAACAGTGGGCGTCTGGGGATCAGGAATATTATGTTGGGGACAGGTTTCTCTGCTCCGCCTTCATGAAAGTTAGAGAAACAATGGGTGATAAACTGTCAGAAGAAAGGAAGAAAGAGCGCGAGCGGCTTCGAAAGCCCCTTGGGCGATGAGATTTCAGTAAGAGACACCGACAGGCTGGGGCATCCTCCGGGAACAGTTACCCGGTGGGTAGGGGTCCTATCATCAACCAGAAAGGTGGAAGTCAGCAAGAACCCAGGAGCAGTTTCAAATCGGGAATGGGGGAGAGGTGTTCATAGGAGCATCGTTTTATAAAAGCAGGGGAGGGATAGGAGTACATGCGGGTAAGGAATCTTGAGGACGGGTCCTGGGGCGCCGGGCAACAGAATACACCCGCAGCGTGGGGGAAGGGAGCACGAAGGAGAGGGTGTGGCCTCTGAATCTTTCGACCTGGTCCTCCTTAGGGCCTCTCCTAGTTCAATGGTCTCCCTAACTGGTAGCCTCCCACACGTACTGCCCTTTCTGCCCGCACCTCCTCGCGAAATTCTTGCTTGAACGAGCACTTCGGAGTTCAACTGCTCGAAACCCCACCTCTCCTTGCAACCTGTGTTGGCCTAATCTGCCCAGCAACTGTTGACGTCACACTGCCATGGCCCTCTCTGAATGAGAGAGGTTTTACTAGATCACTCCCGCCACACCCCCTCCCACCCACCCACCCACCACCACCACCACCACCGCCACTTCACTGAGATCACCCTCGCAGGTGTCACTTCAGAGCCGAGTAGGCCTGGCTGGAAAGGACCGGGGTGGGGAGGGGTGACGTGTGAGCTCCCCCGCTGGCTGGCGCGCTGGCACCTCCTCTAGCCGCTCTCGCCCTCGGCCTTCCACCTGGGGGCTGTGAGGCCGGGCAGCTGCCGGTGCCTTGGAGGGCGAGGTAGCCCCCAGTCTGCCTCATTCCTGGGGGCGGGTGTAGGGGGATGGGGAAGTGGAGGGGGCAACCAAGGAAATTGAAAACTTGAGGGAGAAGATGGCACACTCAGGGCTGTGAGGACGCTGAAGGAGGGAGAGACCTGGCTTATAAAAAGTGCACCGCGAAAGTCAGTGAGCCATTTGGTCTACCGAAAACACAAGAAACCACAGTAGAAAACACCAATTTTATTATAAATATCAAGAATCCACAGGGTATTTATTGGCCAGCATATGCCTCTGGTCAGACTGGAAAGCAGCTGATCGTCCCTTTCTGTGTATTCTAAATATTATCCTCATTCTAAGGGTGCTAGTCACACCAACCCTGGCTCCAAACCCTAATTACATGAAGGCATTATTATAAACCATAGTCTCTTCCAGGAAATCTGCATTATCAAGAGGATTTTGGAGGAGGATAACACTCAGAGCAAAATTTCAGGCATCACCTGAGGGTTATGTTTTAGAACCTCACCCCTCCTAGAAGCAGCTGCCTACTCTGCAGCTCTAGTAAGACCTTGCTTTGTTCTCAAACTCTCCACTATAGAGAGAAGGTAAAAAGGGAGGGAGATGGAGTGTGCAGGTCTGAGAAGTCTTTCATTCCGGACCACCAGACCCACCAGGAGCCTGCACCATGGTACAATAGCGTCCCTTATTCTCCATGAGCTGCTGGTGGGTTCCCGCCTCAATGATGGTGCCTCCTTCAAGAAAGAGGATGTGGTCAGCCTTCTCCACAGAGCTGAGGCGCTGGGTGATGAAAAGCACAGACCGAGAGTACCTTTCAGGGCTTTCATACAGGAGCTGCTCCACCTGAGAAAATATAGAGACTCTTTCAGAGCTGGGGACCACTCCCAGCTCAGGGAGACACCTGTGTTTCCAGAGCAGGGACAGACCTCACCAGGCTGACTGCCCCCTGTGTCAAAAACCCCAAGGAGATTGAAGATGCTCATTCTGAGCGCTTCCCTGTCAAACCTTTGATTTGTTAGGCACTGTTTACATGAAGTGACAACAGTGGAATAAAAGTCACCATCCTATGGTGAAACCTGTAAGAAATGAGTGAAGAGTATTGAACAGGCTCTTCCCTAATTTTGATATTCTCTTTTAAGGAAATATAACCTAGTAGTAAAAAGCATGAGCATTCAAATCAGGCAGACTTGAATGGGAGTTCAGGCTCTGCTATTCAGCAGCTGAATGACACTGAGCAGATTATTCAACCCCTCTTAGCCTCCATTTTATCATCTGCTGAATGCGGATAACATCACCCAGCTCACAAGCATTGGTGATGAATAAACGAGTGAGAGAGCACATGTAGAGGGCCTACTAGCATGTCTGGCACCTAGTCAAAGTGCAATTAATATTAGCATTATTAGGACTGTCTTTTCGTCGTGTTTGGCGTCACAGATTTGGAGTCTGTAGACTCTTTAACTAATTCTAGGCATCTTGGGGATAAGCTGGTGGGAACTGAGAATTGCAAGGACTGGTTAGGATGATTATGATGTTAGTATAATAATGAAGGATGAGTGAAGGAAGAAGGATTGGTTGAGTTACAGGCGTTAAGAAGATGACTCTCTCACCCGTGCCTGGCTGCTTGCATCTAGGGCACTGGTCGCATCATCCAGGATGAGTACATGTGGTTTCCGGATCAGTGCTCGAGCCAAGGCCACTGCCTGCCGCTGACCCCCTGATAGCTGGCTCCCAGCCTCACCTACCTCTGCAGGGACAAATGCCAAGGTCAGAGCTGGATAACCACATGTGCACCCATGTGTGCGCACACACGTGCACACACACATGCACACACATCAAGGACTGATGGATGCAGCAGGACAGGGAAGGTTCTGGGAAGGTGAAGGAATTCTAAGGATATGAGGGTGGAAAAGCCATAGGAACAAGATCTTATAATTTCAAACTGATGTCAGGGGGGTGGCAGGGACTGATGAATAAAGGCATGACTACTGGGGTTTCAGCAAAGGTGAAGATGTCTGGGTGATATTATGAGTGAAGAGGGCACCTGTGTTGTAGCCGTGAGGGAGTTCAGAGATGAAACTATGGGCTCCAGACTCCTTTGCGACAGCTGTGATTTCCTCCATAGTTGGCTTCTGGATCAGGCCATAGGCAATATTTTCTTGAAAACTTCTTCCAAATAGCTGGGGCTCCTGTCCCACTGCAGCCACCTGGGACAAATGTGATGAAGAGTCACAGTACAATGGAAATTAACACAACATTGTAAATTGACTCCACTTCAATAAAAAAAAAGTCATAGAACAAGGAACACGGGTGTGTGGTCATCTAGAGATTGAAGGTTGAAAATCTTTATTGTGAGCATACCACAAAATTATACAGCTTCTCTCCTGACCACACCCCTACCTCCACCCAAGGTCTCCTATGGCTCCCGAACGCCCCTTTCAGAACCCTCAATGAGAAGGCTCTTCTTACTTGAGGCTCCCTGCCCTCCCGCATGCCACCTTCTTGCTCACCTGTCTGTGCAGGTAGCAGTGCTCATATTGGGGAAGGGGCTTCCCATCCAGCAGCACCTGCCCCCTGGTGGGCTGGTACAGATTCTGCAGCAGGGCAGCCACCGTGCTCTTCCCAGACCCATTGGGCCCCACCAGTGCCATCACTTCACCAGGACGTAGGGTGAATGTCAGCCCCTGGAGGCCAGAGAATCATACAATAAGAGGCAGACCGAGTGAGGCCCCTAACCTGGAGACCGTCGTTGTCTTGTTCCATTGTCTTGTCGATGTCTTAGCCCAGAGAAGAAAGGAGGAAAACGGGAAAACAGCAACTCCCACCCTCCCACATGTACAGACTTCGGTCCTCAGAGATGACACCTCCCCACGGAGTAGAGATGGAAGATGAGACAAAGACAAAGGCCTAGACTAAGCCCTACTCTGCCACCCACTTGACATAAGATACCATGAGAAAAAAATCACATTCCAAACTGCAAAGGGAAAGAAGAAGAAAAGATGGAAGACTGGAGATGCAGATTTTGCTTCAGCAATTCCTTAAGCCATGAGAGCCTCCTCTCCTATTCTCCTTGGAAATCTAAACTGTCTCTTCAGTTCAGGCAGTTTCATGGAACAGATGATGCTCATCTCTGCCTCGGAAGGTGAGGGAGGCTCTATCTACACCTGGTGTTAAGTAGGCTGCAGGCAGGAGGAAAGTTTAATACGGGAGAGCTGAGAGTGAGGCTGGTAGAAAGCGGGGATTGGCAGGTTGTACCTGCAGCACCGGGACGTCCGGACGGTTAGGGTAAGCGAAGGAGACATCCTGGAACTGGACAACGCCCCCGAGGTTTAAGGAAGTCAATACACCACTTGTTGGGCAGCGAGGGATCCGGTCCAGGTATTCAAATATTTCCTCTGAGGAGCCCACAGCCTTCTGTACCCTGGGGTAGGTGGACAGCAGTACCTGGAGGACATGTTATGAACAGTGAGGTGGGGGATGGGATCTAATCTGCTTGCCATGTGAGAAAGGCAAAGAGTAGAAGGAAAGTGACTTGGATGGCAATGGGACAGCAGAAAGAAAAGCCCTGGGGAGTGAGAGTGGAAGGACCTCACCTCAACAGCTATGGTAAACTGGATCTGGTACAGAACAAATGTGACAAGGTGCCCACTGCTCACAGCCCCACTTGTCACCAGCTGCCCGCCGAAATACAGGATTCCCACCTTCAGTAGCATCCCTGAGATCTGTGGAGAGACCACAGAGGAAAGGGACTGTGGTAGAAAAATCTGGAGGGGCTGCTGAGAGCCAGAATCACTCACATGAAGGAGATATACAGTCCCTTTCCCCCCGTACCGCAGGAGGAATGAACCACAGCGATCCCGCGGCACCTCACTCATTACACATGATGGAAGTCGTAGTCATCATCATCACCATCACCCTTATCGCCTTGTTTGGGGAGTGTTTGGCTCTTCATAAAAGGCTTTCATGACCATAAGTCATCTAATATTCACATCAGAACACTGTAAGTAAGGTTGTATACCTCCCAGTTTTTAAAATGAGAGAACGTTCTCAGAGAAGATAAGTTACTAGCCCATGGTCACAGAGCTAGCAGACGGCAGCATCAAGCCAGGAACTCTGACTGCTGCTCTAGTTCTCTTTCAGTTACATCACGGGTGCTCCTCATCCTTCGTTCCTGCTATTCGAATGGCTCTCACTAGCACCATCCACACAGTCCCGGCATGAAGCGGGCCAGGTGCAGGAATTTCTAGATCCCTGAGCTTTCCCTGTGAGACAGAGGCCCTAGGACTGGGAGACATGGCATTTCCCTAAAATGCAGGTTGGACAGATTTTGAAGGAAGCCATCTAGCATGCCTAAAAAGAGGGAGGGGTTAGGAACACTGAGTAGGGTAATTGAGCCTCCAGTCGCTAGGCTGTATACACTGAACCAGTCGCTGCTCAGTTGGAAGAATGTGGAGCAGAATCATGGATAAGGGAATGGCGTTGAGGCATCTCGGGAACAAGGTAACAGGCATTCATCTCTAGGTGCTCACACTGGTGATCCAGAGATCGACCGCATAGGCCAGGGCCTCCTTCTGGTTGAGTGTCTTCATTTCCTGCAGCTTTTGCCTGAACTTCTGGGCCTCACCCTCTTCGTTGGCAAAGCTCCGGACTGTAAACATCGCTGACAGAACCTCAATGGCCACCTCGCTGGACTTTGCCAGAGCTTCCTGCACCTGCACTGCCAGCTCCTGTGAAGACATGGGCAAGAGGTGTCACACAGGGTTGCCAAACCATAAGGGACACTAGTACCTGTACCCCCAGCAGAGGGACAGGAGAGAAAAGAGAGGGACAAGGCTATATCTCCTGGATACTAAAGAGATACACAGGAAAGGAAAATGACTCAGAAGGGTCATTGGGGGTCATATTCTTGAGACTGGTGATCATATTCTCAAAGACTGATTGTAGGCAGATGAAGAAGAAAAGACAGAGAATGTGAAGGTCAACACTAAGCAATCTGGAAACGTGGACTTCCAGAGACAAGGAGTCCCATAAAGATGGAGAATCAGTGGGAAGATAAGGGTCAGTTAGGTTGAGGCAACTCCCTGGGCATACCTTGTGCCATTTTCCCAGCTTCTTAGGCAGAATGAAAAGCAGTGGCAGGATGACCAGGGTGACCACAGTGAGGAATGGTGACGCCCAGAGCATAAGCCCCAAGAGACACCATCCCCTCACGAGGTACCACAGCACGAGGCTCAGGTCCGAACTCAGAGACTCACTCACGGTGGACGTGTCCTCTGTCACCCGAGATGTGATGGCACCTGCCAAGGGTTGGAGGGAAGAGAGTGGAGTGAATAGGAAGCTCAGGGTGATGGGAGAGACCAGCAATGAGCCAGGGTGCTAGGGGTCAACATAGGGCTCTAAGGTTAGGAAAACAAGGTCAGTGGTATAGAGGGAGGTTTGCAATCTCAACGCAAGGAGATTAAGTGTTGGAGAGGAAAGGCATGGCCAAGACCTTCATTTTAACCATAAAAGTGATGGGTGGGAAGGGTATAGCTCAGTTGTAGAGTGCGTGCTTAGCATGCACAAGATCCTGGGTTCAATCCCCAGTGCCTCCATTAAATAAATAAATACATAAACCTAATTAAAGATATTGATGTCATGTGAATTTCCATTTCTCTGACAGATTTCTGTTCTCTAAAGAACTTGTATATCCCATGCATATAGGCAGAAAGAACTTAAGCTGGTCAAGTAACACGGATGGAGAAACACGGAGGTGCTGCAAGACAGCAGTGCAGGAAACTATAGCGAGCACTGGATTGGGAATCACGAGATAGGTTCTGTCCCCAGGTTCATCTCTATCCACACGTATGTGTCCATGCAAGTGTTGGCATTTAGGGTCTAGGCCTCAGTTTTCTTCTCTGTCAAATGAGGCAGTTGGACTCTGTGATCTCAAAATCTCCAGGTATGAAATTCTGCAATGTCTCTCTAAATGCACATTTAGGGATACGTTTATGGAAAAATCTCGGATGGCAGCACCAGGCTTTTCTGAAGATAAAGAGTATATTTTGCTCTTGAGGTATGTCAACAATAAGAAACAATGTTTATGTGAGAGAGAGATCAAGGTTATAAGTAAAAGAGGATATGTGAGGATATAATCAGTAAGTGGGTGGATAATGAAAGGAGTTTCATGAGAAACCTGTTTGGTTCTTTTGAAAAAACTCAGTTTCCTGGCGCAGGACGGCCCGAAACACCTCTCCCTGTAAGTGGCTGTGCACGGGCCCATGGTGCTGTTGTAGAGTGCATCGCCCACAAACTCTAGCACTGCACTAGAGAGAGACAGAGAAGGAGGGTCAGGCATTCAGGGGACCCCTTTGGATGGCAGCCCCAACTTCCAACTCCCTCTTTTTCGGAGTCGCCCTATTCCCAGCCTTCCAACTTCAGCCCCCAGACCTGGCTATGGTGAGGATGGACATGAGAGTTATGTTTTGAATGAAGGCAGCGCCTGCCTGGTCTTCTAGAATCCAGTCAGTGAGACGGCCCGTGAAGAATGGAATAGCCATCTCCCCTGGGGAGGGAGAGAAGAGATGGATCAATCAGAAATATCAAGTCTAAGCAAGTGAGCTCTATCCAAGCTGCCCCCAGCCCACCTTCCCCATCATCCTGGAGGGCAATGGCAGAAAGAGGACACCAAGGACACACTCTGCACCTGAACAGGCCACCTCAGTACTCACAGCCCTGTGGCCCCACCCATCAGACCTTAGAAGCTTAATTCAGAAGGCTAGAGGTAACAGGACGGGCTGCCCCAGGGTAAAGGCATTGCCCCAGGTGGCCAGTGATGCTACGCCTAGGGCAGCACTGGAGTCCAGGACGCCTGAGCCCCACCCAGTCCAGAGCGCTTTCCTCTCTGCTGGAGTGGTCTTCATAAGACCTGAGCTGGGTCGCCTTCCCCTGATGCACATTTCTGAGAATTCACACCAATCTACCTCACTGACCATTTCTCGGTTCCTACCCAGTCCTCTAGCCCCCGTCCCTCTCCCCTCAAAGCCCCCTTACCAAGACTGGAGAGGAGCACCAGGATTAGAATGAGCGGGAGGCGGCGTATCTCTGAGCCCAGGCAGCCCAGAAGCCGCCTCACCGCCACTCCAGAATCCCCGTGACCTTTTTGTTCCCAAAGGTTCCTGAGTTTATGCCACAGGGCAGCCGCGGGCAGTGCTGCTATGTAGCTGAGGGCGAAGGCGTTGAGGCGACTTCCCCAGTGCAGGAGCTGGGTGCTGTCTGCGTCCCCCGATCCCAGCTGACGGAACGAGGCAAGTCCCGGCAGGGCCAAGGCCAGCGCCGCCGCCAGTGGCTCCAAAGCAGCCAGCCATCCTTGGACTGCTGCTTTTTCTTTCTGAAAGCCAATCGCTGTCCTGAGGACCCCGCGGGCCCCGAGCCACAGCACAGCCCAGCGGCTCAGGCCCACCACCCAGACCCGGAGCAGCGGCAACTCAGGAGGCACCAGCAGGGAGGACAACTGGGGCAGGGCCGGCCGGAGCAGCACCCAGTCGGCGAGAAGCAGCAGCGTGGTCCCAGGCCAGGCGAGGGAAGCTCGGGAGAGGCAGAGACACCCGCAGAGTGCGGGGGACCCCGAGCCGGCCATTGGCTCGCGGGCGCAGTTGGAGGTCGGCCCTGGGCCTGGGACTCTCCGCTGTCCCCGCTGGGCCGAAGTCTTCGGATGCTGTTAGAGTCCGTGCAGAGCGGGCGCCCGGGCCGGCGGCGCCGGAAGGGAGAAGGGGCGGGCCGGGGCGGGCTCTCGGAAAGTCCCGGGAACCGGCTGGAGCTCCTAGAAGAGAGCGGTTTAGGGGAAAGGGAAAGCGAAAGCGGCTGCTGGCTCACTCGATCCGCCCATTTCTGAAGGCGGCCGGCCCGAGCTATTTTGGGAGAGGGCGTTGAAGTCAGATCTGAGGTTTGGGGCAGCAGCCCCAGTGCTCCATCTCCTCCATTAGATCTGAGGTTTGGAGCAGTAGCCCCAATGCTCCATCTCCTCCTCCTTTCCTCGCCTCCTCCAGCGGATCTCCCTGTCAGGACTTTCTTACCCCAGCCTCTGGGCGGGGCTCTTACGTCATTTGTCTCCGGGCAGATCTGCCCCGTACAGGTTAGCGCCCGGGTGCCAAGGCGCTCACAGAGAGGACCCAGGCGCCCCCTGGCGGGCGTAACGAAGGGGCGGGGCTGCAGGCAGCGCACAGCGCGCTGTCCCAGGTCGGAAACCAGCGCCCCAGGCAGCGAGGAGCGTGGCGCCGGGATGCTGCTGGCCGGAGCACGCACCGGGGATTTACCTCGGGCCGGAGAAGTCCACACTGGGGTAATGAGTATGGGCATGAGGGTTAGCAGAGGGGTGGAGGAGGTGGAGCGACAGGGGGACCCTGAAAGCTCCACGGAGTGAATTCGGAGACTAACAAGATTGAGGAGATAGCTTGTAGCAGCCAGTGAGTGCACCCCGAAATGAATACGGGTGTCTCTATTCTGAAGGGGATCGTCTAGGGGTCCGCGAAGGGGCTGGGCCCGCAAGGCTGGTGGAGAAAGGGGTGCTCTGGCTCTTAGCTAGAAGCCTTAAGGGGAAGCTGCTCTAAGGCGCTTTCGCTTTCACTCTGGACTAGAGAGAGGGGCTGGTTAAACCAAGGGAGGGGGTTGGAGAAGGTGCACGGAGAGAAGGAACGGGTACCCTGGGTGAAGCAGGACAGCACTAGACAGAGGGGAACTGTGGACACTGATTGAGGAGGGACAAGTCACACAGACCTCTGATGAACTACCCCCTAGGTAACTCAAGAGCCTCAGCACTGATTATGGGGGTTCCATGTGAGCTGGTGGTGCCCTTCCCCAGCTCGGCCCAGGAAGGCTTGGCCCAGGTGCTGCCAGGCTCCCTTCCCCGTGTCTTCCCTGCCCACCTCCACGCACCTGCCGGGGGACTTTTGCTCAGGTTGGGCACCTGGGGCAGATAGCAGCCCAAGGCTGGCTGGCTTCCTCTCTCAAACTAGTGCCACCACTCATAGCTCCAGGGCAGCTTTATTATAAATGAACACCTTCTAGGATGGGGTGTCCCCTGTTCTCTAGCTGGCTGTTCATGACAAATCAGTATGTCAAAATGAACAGTCAGACCAAGATCCCTGGAGGCCAGGGTAACTTAGGGAGTGGTGAGAAGTACAGCAGTGAAGCCAAATCTCCCCTCACCACCGAACGAGTAGTGGGAAGGAAGAAGTGGAAGTCCAAACAAAGCCTGGGAGTTAGACCTGGGTTTTAGTCCTGTGTGGCCTTGGACAAGTCACTTGCCTTCTCTATGACTCAGTTTCTTCATTGGAACCAAGGATCTTTAAGGTTCTTTCCAGCTCAACAGAAGTAAAAAGTGTAGCTTTTTTCTCCTTCACTTTTCCTTAATTCTTTTCCCTAATTCCTTTTATTGATCTGGAAAAGTCAGCTCAAGCTCCTCACATCCTCTCAGTACAGATCTCTTTCCCTAGCTACTGAGATAGCTCTTTACCTCTTGATCAGAAATCCTTAAATGAAACCTTTATTTTAAGCCATCTCACATGATTCTTGCTGCTTCCCTCCTTCCTTGACACGTGGTCCTGCTAACCGCTGACCCCAAGATGTTTTCCATTGTTCAGTAAACTGAAAGAGCTCACTTCTGATTAAGGAGGTGGGGGTGGATGATTCTGGGCTAAAAAAAAAGCTTGAGCTTGTTTCCCAAGGCCACAGTAACTTGCCGCTGGAGGGTCTGCGGCACATCTGTACATACAACAAGCACATGCAGAGGTAACGCATTGTGCAGCTGCCTCACTGGTGCTTGGAAGGGCCCCCTTGAACCCTTCACTCAGAGGGAGCACTTGTACGTCCAAGAGCCTCATCCCACCTCTCTCTTTACAGTGGAAAGGATACCACTTAGTCAGGTTGGGGCTTAGAGATGCCATTCTTTCTGCCTGATACCATGGCCAGGCTCTGACATTCCCTTGCAGCCGGGAGAAACAATAGAGAAAGTGGAAAGATAAAGGGGGGGAAAACCATTCTGGGAGTCAGCTCTGGCCTAAATTACCATAAAACCTTGAGCCAGTCACTTCTTCTCTCTGAGAATGTTTCCTCATCTGTAACATGAAAGGATCAAGGCTCTTCCAGCTCTGACTCTCTGTCCTCTGTGTCTCTGCAGACAACCATCATGGCAGTAGAGTTTGACGGGGGCGTGGTGGTGGGATCTGATTCCCGGGTGTCGGCAGGGTAAGTACCAGTGATGGTGTGTACCTTTGGAAGGAAACTAATGGCCCCAAATGCACATTTTCCTTAACCACTCATGAAGAGACTGGTAAACTGGAGCTTTGGAGAAACTGAGTTAAACTTTCAGTAAGGCCTCTCTATTAAGATGCTGGGTGGCTGTTTGGATCTCTGAATTCATGGAGGAGAATCTGAGGCCTGAATGTGAATGTGGCCGGTCCCAGGGAATAAGGGAATAGGGTCTGAAAAGGGTTTAGGAGATAAAGATTTCAGGGCCCCTCCTTCCATCTATGTTTAGAGATAGAAAAGTTGGTTCTGCCAAGTAGATTTCTGGTTTCTCATCCAAAGAGTACTGAACTAGTTTTGTCTTTCTCCCTCCCAGCCAGGTTCCTTACATACAAAATAAATACATAGGATTAGATCAATATTACTCATTTTATGTTCCATAGATCACATAAATTCCTTAAGATTGCTAATAGCAAAGAAAAATTATTAAGTGGAAGATTGGTCTTCACCGAGTATTTTTTATTTTACTATAAAAATCTAAGCCCAAAAAATAAGTCTAATTTTGATAATTATTTGCAGTGTTTCATTTGTTTGAGATGATTGCTTCCTGCTTTAATCCAGGCATTAAATTTCATGTGCTCCGAAGCTGTTCTTATGTCCAATAAATCTGAGACACACTGAAAGAGTAACATCAAAAAATTTGGCGAATCTAATGTTGATGACTGTTGACTCCTTGACAGACAGGCGGTGGTAGACCGAGTGTTTGACAAGCTGTCGCCCCTGCACCAGCGTATCTACTGTGCTCTCTCTGGCTCAGCTGCTGATGCCCAGGCCATAGCTGACACGGCCGCCTACCAGCTGGAGCTCCATGGGTACGAAGCTTTGGGGTCCTCAGTCCACCCTGGCTAGAGTTCCCCCAACAGGTGAACCCCTATATAGTGTCCCATCCCAGGAGCCCTACAGTTGGAAAATGAAAAATTCTTGTTTTGGCTCCTGCTTTTATTAGCTTTGAACTGGCACTTGAATCTCTCGAAGCTGGTTTCTGCACCTATAAAGTGGCGATAATTAATAGTACCCGCCCACCTTGCCAGATGGTTCTTTTGAGAATCAAATGATATATGTGAAAGCAGTTTGAAAACTGCAAATCACTATCTGAGTCTAAATCATGAGGAAGAAAACGACAGTGTGGCCCATGATAATATCAGGCGGTGATGATGTGAGAAATCAAGGTCATCTGCTTTTACCCACATGGGCAGGATGCCTGCAGCCAGGAGACTTATGTCATGGTGGGGGTGGGTGGCAGTGGCAGTGGACAGAGTAAAGGAGGCAAACAATTGAAATCTTCTTACCAGCTGGTAACGTGAGACTCTGGTTCCCCTGTACACGTGGGAGTGGAGCTGGAGTTTGAATTATTGCAGCTCTAGGTTTCAGGTGTCACTTGGCAGGGATCATGGTAATGGCGCAAGAGAGTGGAACTGCAGGAAATTATGTTGACACCTCTTCCTGACACTTCCTTTAGGATGGAACTGGAAGAACCTCCACTTGTTCTGGCTGCTGCAAACGTGGTAAGGAATATCACCTATAAATACCGGGAGGACCTGTCCGCACATCTCATGGTAGCTGGCTGGGACCAACGTGAAGGGGGCCAGGTGGGTGTCTCCCAATGTCCTCCCTCCCTTGGGGTTCCCCACTTCCCTGTAGAGGGAGATGGAGGTCATATGTCATTCCAGCAATGAGTTCCAAAGACACGGCCTCCAAAAGCATAGTAGAGCCTCAGTGGATAAGTGTATGAGGTGCTGGGGCTCAGCTGCAGAGTGTGGAGACCATCTGCTTTCTCAGTGGCAAGTAGAGGACTGATGTTTCTGTGGCCTGACCTGAGGATGCCTCCCCCAGGTATACGGAACCATGGGAGGAATGCTGATTCGACAGCCCTTTGCCATTGGTGGCTCGGGCAGCACCTATATCTACGGTTATGTGGATGCAGCGTATAAACCAGGCATGTCCCCTGAGGAGTGCAGACGCTTCACCACGAACGGTAACTAAGCAAGTGGAAGGGTCCCTGTGGTGGTGGTTAACATGGGAAGGGAGTAGAGCACGAGGAACAGGAAGAGGAACACACGGGTGACCATTTAATTAAATGTCCAAACTGGGACACTTTGGAGAGTGAAAGGGGGTAGGACAAATGCTAAACTAGATGGGACTTCAGGACAAAAGGCATAAACCAGGATTGTTATGAGCACACCAAACTAAGATATATGGTGACCCCAAGAACCAGTGGTGTGCTGGAGCTGGCTTGGACCAGCTCATAAAAGCCAACTGTTAAAGATTCAAGGATTTGTGAGCTGTGTGTTTATCTATTTATAACTTGAAATCAATGATGGTGGGATTATTGAGACCATGGACATCAGGAGATGCTACATATGAAGACCTTTTTTTTTGTTTTGAGTTGTTTACCAGTACACCACCAAATGTGCATCTCTGGGAGATGGGGTTTTGAAGT